GAACCTTATCTTTCTTTAAAAAAAAAATGATGATAAAGTCAAAGCTCTTCCTTCTTCCCCTCCTCACAAGCGGGGTCCGACGTCATTACTAATGTTATCGCTCTCAGAAACATTTTCCATTGCAAGAAACCTCGTTGATATCAACGATCAAAACACGAAGTCCCAAAATTTTCGAAATAAAAAAAAGTCGCTGTGTCTTAGCAGCGGCGCAGTCAACTTCAACAAGCGAAGCGCGAAGTCTTAAAATCTTCATAGAGACATGGAGTCTTAAAATCTCCAAACACGGAAAATCGTCCTCCGTTACAGTAATGACGACTTCATCAATCAAAGCGCTGCATTTGCAGAATCGATGCACATTAATGGCCCGAGCCAACAGCATCACGCTAACAGTAACGTCATAATTTTGAACGGCAACGTCGACATTCGATAGCCTTTATCTCGATACTGTTATCACTAACACTACCGGCTGGGGGGCTAACTGTTGCGGTCGCATTTCACCTGCTCAACGTTGAAGTCCAAAGTTATGCAAGCGTAGCGCATAGACACATAATTGCACTAACATACAGATATTATATGATTCTCCTAAGTCATTTCCTAACAAGAAGATTAAGTCTTTCTCCTTTCCTAAGTCTTCTTCGGCCAAGAACGGAGCCTTCTGAGTCCTCTTTACTCGCAGCAGTTATCAGGAATGCAGTGTCAGCAAAGTCACAGTGCCAGCGAGGTGCAGAGGTGCAGAGGTACCGAGGTGCAGTGCCAGCAAAGTGCAGAGGCAGCGAGGTGCAGAGCCAGCGAAGACCCAGAGTCAGCAATGTCACACTGCCAGCGATGTCACAGTGTCAACGATGACACTGGCCACCAAAGACCTGCCAGAGTATTGACAAAGGCCGGAAGGTTCCCTACGCTAAAGCCTAGTCAAATTACAAAAGCTCGCTTTGACGCAACCGACGGAAGGAAAAGGGAATCCGCGAAGACTTAGGAAAGTTAACATTATCTTTAGAAAATAAGCCTAGCCGACTTAGGGAGCTATATATATCAATGTACAAACCCTTGTAAAAGGTATCCGCAATTTTATTCACAAAAGCATACAAAGCAATAACAAACGTTTCTCTTTCCTCTTCGTTTCTTTTGTAGCTTAACCTAGAAATCTCTGTTTCCTCACGAAACCCTTACAAATCTAATTGTGCTAGTTTCGACTCCCACAAATATCCAATTCATCAATTCCAGAAAACCAATTCTAAACAATGCAT